CTTATTTATTTTAAGTTTATCCTTTCCCAAACCCCTCAGAATTTCAGTTTTACAGGCCAAATAGTCTGCTTCAAAGAAATGGGTCTTATATCCCAACCAAACTACTTCATAAGCCTGTGGAGCATGTTCCCCTTGATTCTCCGCGGTGTTCATACCTTCGGAAGCTTCAGTGTCCTCTTAGACCGCCTAACTGGTCTCGAATACCTGGTTCATCGAAATCGAGCCAAGTTTGTATTTCTTTCTTCGTCAGAGGTCCTGGGTATCGGAGTTTGACCAGGTTCATAAGATGGGGTCTAACTATTGAATATCTCACGAAGGTTTTACTCGTACTCCGTTCTTCATAGAAAAATTAAATCTCGGAGAATCTATTACTAATTAAGAGATTCACAGGCAGACATAAGAAAAACTGGAATGACTGTGATTTATTTGTTTCCTCTACCTTTAAGTCGCTCGATTGTTTTGCTCTTTAGCCGCCCACAAACAAAATCCGCTATAAGCTGAAACAATAGGCCTTTCAGATGGGCGTAGTTTTTTATTTTGAGGTCGCTTATGCATTGAATTGTATTTATGCGTACTTGTACGGTGGGCCAGTCCTGACAACTTAAGGATGATTGTTTAACTCAACTCAGTATTTGCTATCTAGCCAATTTATCGCTTCTGTGGCCGATGTTTTATTATTTCTGGCTGTGTTTCATTTTCTACTTATTTAATTCTGTGCAGGGGAGCACAGCCTACGTTGCTCAACAGGCTTGGATATTCAACGGGACCTTGCGCGATAATATTCTCTTTCACAAACCGTTTGATGCAGAACGATACGAGCGCATTCTATCTGCTTGTGCCTTGCAACAGGACCTTGCCATTCTTCCTTCCGGAGATCTCACTGTGATTGGAGACAAGGGTATCAACTTGTCCGGTGGCCAGAAACAGCGAATCAGGTACTGCTTAAAAGATACCGTCTCCTCTAAGCCTTACAGCAGTCCCAACTTACTTTTGTTACTTGCATTTATTTATGTGTTGAAAACGAATACATGTTTTTTTGTTTATAGTATTGCTCGTGCGTGCTACTCTGACGCTGAAGTTTACCTATTTGATGATCCGCTCGCAGCTGTTGACGCCGAAGTAGCTGGCCATCTGTTACGCGAAGTGCTTGGCCGGCAAGGTCTCCTCGCCAAGAAAACGAGAATTATTGCCACCCACAACCCAAAACTCATTCAGTATGCCGACCGAGTTGCCATGATTGAGGCAGGTCGTTTAATGGAGTATGGAACTTACTCCAAATTGACTCAGTCCCGCAACAGTCGCCTAAATGTGTTTCTCATAAGTCGGGAAACCGAGGAAGCGGAGGAAGGGTTAGGAGTAGCAACACCCAACGCACCTGTGGCACTTGTCTCCAACCTAAGCAGGAACCCTTCCAACATGAACCACCCACCACCGCAATGCTCAAGGAGCGTAAGCAAGTCATCGACTGATTGGCCTTGTTACTCGAGGTCAAGGTGCAGTTCGGCATGCCTGCCAGCTGATCTTGCTGAACGTAAGCTCCGCGTGCTCTACTTTCTCGTTTTGATAAGGTTTTAAGAGCTAGTTCGATAAGACCGATTGTCAGAAATTAAGCATTCTCCGGACAACGAGTCATCGACGTCATTATTTTTCCGGCTATCCTCTTTTCTCCTAAACAGTGATCCCCTAACATTTAAAATCTAAAGCTCTTGACGGGAAGGCCATATATATTCTCCACGTTCGTCATAGGTATTTTGTTTTTTGAATCTATAGGAGTATCAGTATGCTGGCTGTATTTTTAAAGCATATGTGTTACATTTCGAAATCGATGAGCAAGCTACTTTAGAGATGCGCACTATCTATAGGCGAACGGAAGCGTAATCCGACCGACAATGTGTCAGTACAAACCTCTATAATTCTGCCTTCAACAACTATCTTCAGCAGCTTTCAGCGCATACTTGCAAAATATGTCAATGAATTCAAGTAACCTTATTGGAAGCAAAATCTCCTGGAATCAAACTGACCGCTGCATTTGTAAAACAGCTTTTTCACCTCATCAGAATGTTTTTAAAAAGGTTAAAAATTGGAAATCAACTGTTAAAAAGTAACTTTGCAAGTTAGTTTGAAATCGATAGTTAACCTCAGTGTTAAGTCTTTCAAAGTTGCCCAAAGTTTTTATGTAGACACTTGACTTGAATGCTATAAAATTAAGCGGAAAGGCTGGTACCATTTTCACTCATAAATCCACCGATTTGTTATGAATACAAAGTTTCTATCATACCTCTAACCCAAGCACTAATTAAAGAGTAAGACCTGTTTCGTCGAGTTCTGTGTTTTCATGACTTGATAGCTGATTATAAACTCATTAGTATATTCTCCTATGTCTATTTTGTGGGTTGTGCCGCAATTCTAGTTGTCGTATTGATCTATACCACTTCTTCTGAAATTGATAAATGGTC